ATCTTCTTTCCCATCATCGCAGTAATTCCTCTGTGGTCGGGGGGAGGAGGTCTACGCAGTCTATAAGTCAGAATCATTCGATTCCGCAAAGGCAATATGGCGGGATATCCATCAACATTTTAAAGTGTTTTTTTTTAATATCATGCATGATATTAATTAGAATGAGATTCAAAAAGCCTTGTCCCTACAGATTGTTTCTACTAAATTTAATGTTGGTCACAGACAGGCAAGCACGGTATGTTTACTACAATATTCACTTTTAACTTTGCTTTTACTGTAAATCTATATTTTCACGAATTTTGTGAATGTGATTGTGTATTAAAATATTTCTCCTAAAATTCTGCCCGTATCGTTGGTTCAGTAGCTCTGTTGCCGGTTGTATATAAAAACAGTTCAACGAATAACTTTGCAGTTTGAGCTGTTGATATCACAGAGACCTTTTATACTATAAGTATAACAGTATTTTAGTAAAATTTGATAGTCATGTCATTAAAAGCTAAGCAAGTACTTTTGATGTTTTGATATCATTGTATAGTTGAAATAGAATAGATAAGTGATCTGCATATTAGTATATATGGGAATATTAATTTTCAACCATACTTGGCAGTTTGGGTTCTGTTATTATGTTCAATTATTTTCACTGTGATTTATTAAATACTGGGTATTACTGTATATAGTATGCCTGCTAAGGCCTGCTTACTGTATTAAAGTAGAGTAGTTGGTGGAATTATTTGATCAATACAGCTTTATGGCATTACAGAGAATGTAGTAAATTAAAAATATGATAACATTTCAGATAATCAGGCTTACATACTTGTATGTTGATCTCAGTTGCAATGCCAAACTCATAGAATATATAAGTGAGTATTGTGAGTCTAAAGAATTTTGATTGACAGTATTTGTGTTTTACTGACGTGAAACTGTGCCGGTTATTATTGCAAAATAGGGCGAGTTTAGGCGAGTTAAGCAAAATTCTGTCAACTTCTCATTGCGAGATAAGGCGAGATTGGGCGAGTTAAGCAAAATTCGATCAATTTCTATTGCGAGATAGGGCGAGATAAGGCGAGTTAGGGCGAATTAAGGCAAGTTAAGGTCCCAGAGTAGGCCTTGCTAAATGACTAATTATATATGTTAACACTACATAAGAGATTATACAAGAAATATTATACTTATGCCTAAATGCACCTCAGGGATAATCTACAATAATATATTTTAGCTATTACACGTGAGAATAAAGTAAGTCACACCAAAATGAATGCGAAAACAAAGCACAAAATTGTTCGTTTTCCTGAAAGTATATGTACCAGGGACTAATTAAAATGATTTTGTCGATTCAATCAAAACGTCTGCCAAAACTGATTTAATTTTCATAAAATAACTTACTTTTGCAACAGCGAAAATTTTATTCAAATTCTTGGTTGATAAACTGTACACAACAGGAGATTATTATAAAGCTCTTCTGATATAATATGTCTCTATAATAATAACCTAAAACTGAATATTTTACTTTAAATATTCCTTATAATATACTTCTTAATAAACATCTTAAACTTCAAAAATTTTTCAAATACATCATGCAACGACATTTTTTATACTTCTTAATAATACTCAAACTTATTTAATTTAACAAACATCATGCGTAGCGTATCAAACTCCAAAATGTAGCTTTTCATCCGACAGAATAGTATACCGAATCTACATAGAGAAAACAAGATGTGCCTAATATTTAAGCTTTTGGCTTGAAAAGAAATCCTAATCCGTACAAAAAGAATGGGAGACCCTTTGACTGTCCCGGGGAGAGAGAAAAATATATAGTAATATACGAACAAAGTTGAAACACATAAAAATGATTAGTTAATACTTTTTTAAATCTGACCCAACTTAGTTCATGCATGCGCTAACCTACGGCAACATGCATGTATACGTGTTGAATGTACCTAAGATATTTTAGTTGGCATATATATTCTCACGAGTCTGGCTAATAATAAGGAAAAATACACAAATCGCATGCTATCTTAGTAGAGAAACAAGTACTAATCATAATGTAAATAACAAAAATTAATATACAAAATTAAGGGTGTCCAATTTCAAGTCAGTGTTCATGTCCGTCGTTATCCAGAATTTGAAGTTATATAGCAATATCTGCGTCATGTTCGTACTTTCAACCACGGGGGTTTCCAAACGGCATCTTCCGTGACGAGGGACATATTACCACTTGGATTGTAACACTCGGCTGGAAGGTTAACTCGATCTTCAAAGTGATCTTCCTGAACAATTGTCCCAGAAACTGCGGTCACAAGTTTGATGAAGAACAACAATGCCAAAAAACATCGACAGTTCATCTTGAAAATGATTTTATGACGCGTGGAACTATATCGTGAAGACTCAAGAGTTTATTGTTTATACACGGGAGGTACGTCTGCGTGAGGACCTCGTAAGCTTTACCGGGATTTTTTGAATTAAGCCCGCATCCTCATACCACTTGTTACGAGGCTTTATTTATAGCTAGTGAATCGTTACAACCAATCTCTAATAGCTATCAGTTCTTAATGTTATGTTCGTCTTCTCGTAGTAGTTTTTCAAGAGTTCACTTTACTCTATAGTCCACTGTCCATTGACGAATTTTGGTTGTGCACACACTTTTATACTAACGGTTGAGGGATCTTTGTACACGTGATGTAGGAAGTGGTATGATTTGTATCCAGCCAATCAACGTTGAGGTTTAAAAGTGTGGGTTGGCGATGGTAGCTCGTTCCAGCTCTCAAATTATGTTTATTTAAGGCGTTGTCGCACTGGTCGAGTTGGTTCGCTGTTCAATCGATCATCATTAAAACATGTTCATAACTTAAAATACCTATCAAAATATCATAGTAAAATCTTCAAACTACACCTATGTGAACCTTATTTTACCTACTAAACTAAATTTACTTGCAATTTTATTGAACCAAGATTTTGATGACGTAATGTTATCATTACTCAACCGCGCGAAATATACCTAAGAATGATTGACAGAAATTCCCTAAGCATGCACATTTTCATGTCAAAGAAGAACCAGCCTTGGATTTTGAATTATGTAAACACAACAGCCCACCATGCAAGGTTATCGTCCAACTTTGACAAATTATTTATCTTGCCTAATGGACAGATAATTGACACTTTTACACAAGTCCGAAATGATATATACTTTATCTGAGTTTTACAGCAAAAATGCTCATTATCTCTCCATTTGACGTAACAAGTATCTATAATTTCCTGAGGTGCAAATTGAACTATTTTTATACTATTTTTAATACTTTCGTAACATCATTATTCATTTCTTTAGGAATTGACCGATTGCGCTGATAGAAAATAAACGTGGCAGTATTTGCATACAGTAGCAGGACTGAATCGTCGAGCTGGCTACGCCATTGAGCCTAAGTACTTCATCTTATGACGATCAATACCAGGGCCGAAGGTGAGTATCGTCAGATCATTATTAGTGTTTTTTTTAAACTTGACTATATTAAATATTCTATTCTATGGGTAATGGGTATAAAGTGTCTAAATGTTTGCTGATATGTACAGTTAAAATTTAAAAGCAAACTATGTGGAGCATATACCGCTAAATAACTAAAATCCTTTGTATATATACAATCTAAGATGTTTGAGCGATAGAACTCTCGGCGCTCTAAATGTACCGTGCCATTCATAAATTTGCATGGTTATGGCACTGAATACGATTATAGTTGCCATTTTGTAAATATCTCAAGCATGGCAGAGCAGGAAATCGACGATTCAAATTTAAATGGATCTAACAATTCCCTGTCTTATGTCCTATTGCAAGTTAAATTTATGTTATTGCTCCATTGTTTATTATAATAAAATGACAATACGTTGCCATTTTTTTTCAATTTTTTGTAAATTTTACTAGTACAATCTATCAAGGCTAGTAGTTGATGGTTGTTGATGGTGGTTCCCTGGTTGTTGCTGATTGTTTTTGTGGTGGTTGTCGTTGGTAGTTGATGCTTTTTGATGGTATAGTTAATTGTAGTTGGTGGTTGTTAATTGGTTGAACAACATGATCGTTAGAGTTGTCCTGCGAAAAAGAGAAATTAACACCCAATGGCGGCGCAACGGCGGCGCTAATATTACGAATACACTGCAGCAAGCCCAAACGGATAGTAAGAATTATCACGAACCTTACGTCGAAACAAAACTTCAATATCTTTTATGGATTTGAAACTCAACAGATTGGCGGATTTTTAAAAAATTGTTGGATTTGCGTACCGCTATTCATTCCCCCTTACAATTAATTGGCATTTGCTTTCTAAAATATTTTCAGATCTTGTGCATACATCATGCATGCAAATGGTCAAAGCAGTGTTCGTTTATACTAAAAGTAAAATGAAAGAAAAGTTTTCCACGCTAATGTTCTTTTTATCTATAATTGCACACTATACAATTTTCCGCACATGCGCAGGTTAAGCACTGTCACACGTGGACATTTTTATGGTTTTCTACATTGTGGTTAGCCGCGCATGCCAATCTTCGACAGGTAAAGTGATACTAAATATAAAACTATTCTACAAATATAGCTACTAAGACAGTGGTTTACAATTACAATTACATGCAAAAACAATAAGTAGTTCCGCCTACGTAAACTCTTTAATCTGTTTTTTTAATAAAATTCTATATTGTTCTGGTAAATGTTGCGCGCCACATTGTTCTCAGAATTGAATGCGGTTGCTGTATGCCAGGATTCCAGTGTTGCTCTGTGCATGTCGATAGGTTGCCTTGTCTAGGATTTTGCACTCATCAAAGTTGATTTTGTGGTCCTGAGCCCAAGCATGTTTTGCTATGTTGTAACCGTATTGTTGGACATTTCTCTTATGTTCCTATTTCCTCGTCTCGAGAGCTCTTCCGGTCTCACCTATATAACTCCAGGAGCAGTCCGCGCAATTAATCCTGTATACGACGTTGGTCTGTTTTTCCGGGAATGGTCTGTCCTTTGGTGACGGAAAACGTTGTTCTAAAGTTCGGAGTGGTTTCGTTGTTGTTCTGATGCCGTAAAAGATTACTGAAACGCGATACGGCATCAGAACCACAACGAAACCACTCCGAACTTTAGAACAACGTTTTCTGTCACCAAGGGGCCGGGCAGATCACTTCCCGCAAAACAGACCGACGTCACGTACATCGTATACAAGACAATTGCGCGGGCTGCTCCTGGAGCTATATAGGCAAGATCGGTAGAGCTCTCGAAACAAGAAAAAAGGAACATAACAGCAACGTCCAACAATGTATATTCGGTTCTGGAGTCCTGGCATACAACAACTACATTCAATTCTGAGAACAATGCGGCGAACAATTTAGTATCACTTTATCTGTCGAAGACTGCAGACTGGCAGTCGAAATCCGTGTTTAATTAAATAAATTTTACGATTAGAGAACGTTCAGAAACTTTATGTCATTATGTTCTTAACTATATATATTTTAACATCCATTGAAAGGACGACACCTTTGCAACCTCAAAAATATGACACTGTCCGCTTTATGCAGGTGTCTGCTTAATTCTTTGTTTCCAATCACGTGACTTTTCATCCAAATGATGGGCAATCAAACAACTCGTGGACAATTTTTCTCCTATCAGAATGGTTGTAGCAAGATAACCTGAACGGTATACATCCGGGGAAGGAGAAGCAGTACTAGCGAAGTCTAAAGTTCGTCAATAATCGCGGGCGCATCACTATGCAAGGGTGGACCTCCCACTCAGCAATTTTCAATTCTTAATTTTGCAAATTAAACTGATCATTTCATGTCGTTTAGTTTTCAATTTAAAAAATATATAAAAATATATGTAAAGTGATCGTGTTCTCGTGACAACCACTTCAAATACTTCATGTTTGGGAAATGTTGTGCATGGTTCTGCTGGAAAGCGAGGTGTTTCTGCATGCATACATGTATTTCTAGCTAATCACAAAACCTGTTCATATAGGTTGCGCGAGATTTTAAAAATAATTATAAACCATTTGAAGAAATTGACGCATTTACTTTTAACCCATTTATTTAACATATACATTATTATATACAATGTTTAAATACTACAGTGTTTAATATATAATTGTCTATTTGTGCGAGTGTAAGACCCAAATTCAGATATATCATGCATGCAAATGTTCAAAGCATACAGTGTTCGTTTACACTAAAAGTAAAATTAAAGAAATGTTTTCCACGCTAATGTTCTTTTTATCTATAATTGCACACTATACAAATTTGATTCAAAGTATATCCAATCAAACCAAGTGACGATTCTGAACATACCAGCACCAATCAAGTCCATTCTACTCCGCAGTCTGCATGTTCTTTTATTTTTCCAGTTATATATATTATATGAGCAATATTATTTTCAAATAACATGCGAACGGGAAAGAATAGGAGCAGTGAGTAGTACGTACGAGTTTTATCATGATGGACACATGCATGTCAAGTTTTGTCACAATCATGAGGGTCATGTTTTGTCACAATCTACAGCAAATCATTCTAAAATCTATTTTAATAAAGCTTATTATACTTATTCAAGCAATTTCTGGTTTCAAATATATGTAGGCCTAGTATAAGGCTACGTTTACGCTATACCGGATAGCTTTCCATAGTCAGCCGTGAAAAAGCAGCTAGCCGTGTCCGACACAGAATGTAAAACTTTCAGAAGCTGAGCGAAACAACATCTCTCCGTTGCAATAATTCCTTTGAAAATAGCGTTCCTAAAAGGTAAGGATACACTGTAAAAGTGTTTATATTCTCATGTTACCGTTTTTGGTGACAGATCAACACATTTGGAGTTGATTGAAGTCCTTGAGTTACAGTGTAGGTGTTTCTTCTCATCGCTACGGAAAGCTATCCGGTACGGTGCAAACGTATAGAGTTTGGCAACCGACAACGGCAACGAAAGAAAAAAGAAATTAGCTACATATATATATATATATATATATATATATATATATATATATATATATATATATATATATATATATATATATATATATATATATATATATATACACATTTATGTATGCGAGCCATGCATGCAACCTACAAATGTCTATACTTTTAACTATGCATGGTATACAAATTATCTATAAAATATTAAATGAATATGGATAATATTATACAGAAAGAGTACAAATAAGACGAATGAAAAAAATTGAAGTTACAGACTTGCAGTACATGTTAAGTTGATAACAGTTTATACGTCAGTAACAAAAATATCGCAAAAGTGAAATAAGCGATGTTTATTTTAAATTCCAGAGGCGCAATTATGTGGATGGAGAAATAAGCATTCTGCCTCTTCTTACTACAGATTTATACATACTAAAATCATCCGTTGGTCTTCAATGGTCTTTAGATTGGAATACCCTTTAGAGATTTGTGTACTTATACTTTCATGTGAATTAACAGAGTTCCTCTTCAGCCTAACTTGGACTGGCGCCTGCATGTCTAGTAATTGGCTGCGTAATTTATCACACACGAGAATATTTATTATGGCTTAAACACTATACACGCAATAGCCGAAATTTTGGGGGTATACAGTCAGTCACTGTATTATAGATCGAGTATAATTTCCTGTTCATGAAGAAGATCATGAAGAAGATTAAAAAGACATTCAATATTTAATGAGGTGTTGAACCACAAATAGAAAATTATCCTGAATTTCATCAACCTTTTCGTCGGTTTTTGACTTGGCGAATAATTTCTTAATTAATACACAACTGTCAAAATCCTTATGTTCACAAGCTATATAGCCTACAGCATCCTCGTCCGTGCTGTAACCGACATACAACCACCCACCTCTGCTTTGAGTTTGTACATCTCATACAACACGGACGCGAATGCTGTGTATATTAGTAAACGAAACGTAAAATATTCCAAATTAATACAGAACAAAAATTTCGATTTAAGTCCCGAGTCTTGAAAAAAAGCAGAATCTTAACCCAGCTTCATTTAAACGAAAATTGGTTTAAAAACTTATTTGTTCTAAACTGGCTTCCATTAATTAAGTCATGGGGCGTTATGGTAGAGTAGGGATTTTGCCAAATATGGCTCGCCTTCACCATAGTCTTCATGTTTCCGATCATAAAAGAGGGTGTTGATGGAGTATATCGTGAGTGGTGATTGCGCAATTTCGGTTACCGTCAGTCGTAAAAACACTAAAAATTTTATCGTGTAGCGTGAGGAACAAAATACCGTTTATCGTTTCAGAACTCTTTTCAGCAAATTCAAAGATTTCCGTTATTATATCCGTCAATTAAAATACCAAAAATTTTACCGTTTACCGATTTTCAGAACATCCCTTCCTCCCCCTATATATACCCTCATAAATTATATAAAGCGCCTGGGGGTGAGGTATGCAGTGAAAAGCCTACTACTAAAAATAGTTATTGTAAATAAACTAATAAACTCCCGAAGTCCTAAAATCATTTTCGTACTGAGTTATTTGTTACATAAGAAGGCATATTACTTATAGCAAAATTACTCCTGTTAGACAACGCTTCCCTGCAGTTTATTCCTGCAGCCATTCTGCAAATGTCAAAAGCCAAAACCAGGCACCAATTAAAGAAAATAAATCTTGAAAAAATCAATATATGGAATAAAAGCAATACGTAAATTTTACATTGTTACATTTCGATCTTGATACAACAACAATAATAATAATAATAATAATACTAATAATAATAATAATATTTAATGATTATTTTTTGACCTAGTAATAGTACAGGACAGAAATATAACCATCAAAATTGAATTTGTGTCTTTGCTTTTAGTCCCCATTCATGCTAGGTTTCAAAGATGTTTTCCTTTTTCGGTTTATGTTTTATATTCCTTAAACGGGTGCTCCAGTACATATAATTTCATCTAATAAGTGTGCATGCTAACAATCACTTAACAAAATATAATAAAGAGAGACAGGGGAGTTTATTAGATATTGAAATAAAATGCTCATTCGAGTCGAGGTGTTAAGGTGAGGCGTTTATAAGAGGGTATATGCATTCATTGGATCATTTACGGTATATCGTAACTTGTTTGTCAAAATTGTCTACCTTGAAGTAAGTATGAACAGTTCAATTTAAGTATAATACTTCGATTTCTGATGCAGTAAAGTAATAGCTTCCTGCAAGCAGGGATGTTGTGTTGGTTTGGTTGAAAGAGTATCCACATGGAGGTTTGTAGGTGTGACCAAAATTTGTGTAAGATGTTTGATTTGATCCCGCATGGTCGGCAATATAGAAGTCATAACTCAAACCAAATGTTGGTCCAAACCAATTTTGACGGTAAATTGCCATCCCGCTATTTTCATCTTTCAGCGGTGCCTTGAAAGGCGGAAGGTCGTCATTATTGCGAAGAGAAAACATAAATGATTCTGGAGCAGATGTATAACCAGCTGTCAAAAATAGACACAATAATGTTTTGTTAGATATGATTACATCATTGGCCAGAACTGAATAATGAAACATATTTTGGGATGAAGATTTTGAGTAAACAGCTTTTGATTATTTTACTGAATTATCAAATGTGGTTGGTCAGCAAGGGAGTACGGCAAAACTAAGGGCCATAACGGATTCTGGGGGGGGGGAAGCGGTGTCGGCACGAGAATAACATTTTTTCGAACATTGTATTCTTATTTTGTTTCCCAGTTAAGGTACGGTAATTCGTACTATTTTGCTTAATATGTAATTTGGTTTTCGATGCATTCGCACTTTTATCTGTTTTGTCCAACTATTTTGTCCAAATATTTTATATTTTGACCAACGTTTTGAACTTAAAAATTATTGGGAGTGTTAACTCCTTCCCTCCCCCCCCCCACCCCACAAACACACACATGATGTGTTAACTCCTCCCTCCACCACACACACAGACACCCCCCGGTAGCGATCTTAATACCGATACAGCCACAAAGATCTATACCATGATGATACTCCAAATCGTAACCTATGCTGGTCCAGTCAAGATTATTCATACTAAAACTCAGACAGATCGATTGGCGTCTCTCCAGAGCTAAGACCATTACTGGAAACAACCACCTCAACAGCATTATGAATGAGATTCAACGTCAAAACTGTCTACTAGTTAAGAAATGTCTCGAAAAACAAACGAATAGCTCAACATTTGACAATTATTATAAAATGTTGAGTCATGAAAAGTCAACAAGAAACAGTAATGCTTTAATTGAAATACCACGAGTAAGACTTGAAGTTGCAAGCAAAGTTTTTATTTTGCTGGAGCAAAAATTTTTAACAGTCTTCCGATGGAAATTAGGTTGGAAAAACAATTTACAGAGTTTAGGTTACTTGTTTTTGACCATTTTCAATCATAACTTTTGAACTTTTTAAATTTTTAAGGTAGTTTCTCTCCATCAACATTTTAGGTAGTTTTAGGTAGTTTCAGTCAAAAACAGGACAAACAAGGATAGCAGAGTTGCATTTTATATTTCATATATTTGTAAACACTGATGTTTTATCCTGTATGAATTATAGATTGATTAATAATAATAATAATAATAATAATAATAATAATGTCCCTGTGGTTTCTTTAGGACCAAAAACGCGAAAATATGATTCCACCTATACCATTTGGAGCTGATTAACAAGTTTTGTTGAGTTACAAACAATTAAAAACTAAAGGACACATTGCAAGATCTTACTTTAACTCGTAGTCACAACAAGAATAAGAGTAACGTATTTGTTGTTATATGATAATAATAACATATATAACAATAATACATTCAAACTTACTTCCAGCCCATGTTTCGGTACAATAGCCACCAAAGATCAAACTTTTACCACCCGTCACAACTTTAACGATCACTAAACTTGGTTTTTTCTCGTCGCATTTCTCGTGAAATGTCCGAGCTGCCCAACCATGTTCAGTGCCTCGCCAACATACTCTCCATTTTCCTGTTCCTGGTAACCATTCTGCCAGTTTCTTATCCAATTCGACAAGTTCATTAGCTATTATCATTGATTCACCAAATGGACCTAAATTTATGAATTCAACCATATATTAAGTATACATATATTATGTATATTCGCTGGATATATCAAAAACAGGTAGTCTAAAATCAGCGTGCTCTTGTGCACTCCACATTAAGTGCAAAAGTATAACTTTTTTATACTAATTTAAAAATGAAAACTAAAGCCCAGCAAATGACTTTCAGACTAGAAATAACAAAAATATAAAATTCATTGGCTAACGTTTCGTTGTATTGTTCACAACATTTTCAGAGCAATTAAACTTATTTACAAGCGTGTATTATTCCCGAACCAACGACGCGGAGCGCCGTTCCGGGCGTAAGCCCGGGGCGAGGGTAGCAATTCCGGCCGGCTATTCACACCCGTGGAAAAGAAAGCATTAGCGAGGTCTAAAGTTTATCAATCATCGCGGGCGTGGGTCACAGTGCGTGGGTGGTCGTCTCACTGATCTCAAAATATGGCTGTTTGCCAGGTAGTAGTGAAGAAGGCAAAAATGTAAAAACTACATGTAAGAAATATATATATATATATATATATATATATATATATATATATATATATATATATATATATATATATATATATATATAAATACATGCAGAAACCCTTGCCACAGAGGAGAGATTTACAGAGAGGAAACTCAGACTGGATAACCTCAATTTTTGTGTCACGCGTTCCACGCGCCACGCAAAATGTCCCATCGAGCGCCGTCCCTGAAATTTCATAGCAAAAGATAGGGAAAACGCCGTTCGAATGGTTTAAAAAAATGAGATACCCATGGAAATTCTGTTCAATAAATTATTGCAGAATAACGGTAAGCGATCACTTTTATTGTTGTTGGTTCAAGTGAGGCCAAAAGCTACTGTTAAAAGTAAAGTAAAGTTAGGCGGAAATTTTATTTAAAAATATATATATATAAAGTTTAAAAACGTCTTAGCTTTCGTCGTCTACGACATCATATGAGACAAAGTGAGTTATTTGTGAGAACAACTATAAATACTGTGTCCTGATTTAGAATTGCAAAGTATGTACAACTGAGAGTTGATGACTAAGGGATGCGGAGGTAATTAAGCTAATGAGATAATTAAAATAATTAAAATAAGAGATCCGATAGTTCGCTGTATTCCTCCCGGGAATTGATTTCTGGTTTAGGTTTATGGATGTGAATGGCTTCTTTGAGTCGTAAATTGACAGTATCGGGGTCGCTCGTAAGAACTTCGGCGGTTATGTTGAAGTTGCTGTTGTTGCGTTGGCAGGAGTTTAGGTGATTGAAAAAGGACGAGGTGGTTTGTGTCAGGTGTTCTTTGACTCGGTCGTGTAGATTTCTTATAGTGCTCCCTATGCAGTTGTCATGGCATTGGTCGCAGGTGATTTTGTAAACAACATTTTTCCGAAAACATAAGTTGTGCTTGGCTGTGGTACAATTAAATCGAGTGCAGTTTCTGATGTTTTCTCTCCTGCCTGAAGCAAGCGCTTGTCTCAATGATATTGACCTGTGGACCACTCTAACGGGGAAACCTTCGTCTTTGAAAATGTTGGTAACTTTGCTATCGATGGCATCTGAGATGTAATGGGTGCGGAGATATAACCAATCGGTATCATTGTTTGGCGGTGGTTCGTGACGACGACGTGATGCGTTCTCGGGTTTTATTTCATTCGTGAAATTGCGTGGGTAATCATTTTGGGAAAAGACATCTATGAATGCTTTCTGGTGGTTCTCTTTCGCAGTTGGATTAGAGCATCTTTGATCTATACGTCACATTTCGTTACGGATGATATTTCGCTTGGTCTTCTTAGGTATAGCTGATTTATAGTTGATGAAGATAGGTTTCTTTGCTTTCTTTTTGTAGAATTCAAACTCTGTATTCCCGTCTGGTCTGATGGTAACCGTGACATCCAGCAGAGAAAGGGATCGACCATCCGGGGAGGTAT